AATGTAAACCACTTAGTCCTAACCTAAACCTAGTGAATTAATAGCTCAGGGGTGGAACCCAGCAATCTGTGCTTTCCCAGCTTTCCAGATGGTACACACACACACACACACACACACACACACACACACACACACACACACATACACACGCACACACACGCCATGCCACGTGCAGTCTGAGAGCCATGGCTCTACATCATTGACTTGGGTTATATGTGTATTCTTATAAGCTCTTTCTTTGACAAATGTGGATCCCGTGGGTGGACTGTGTTTATTTATCTGTTTCTGCTGGAGGCTGTCAGCTCCTCTCAGGCGGTGTTTAGTTATTTTTACCTTCCAGCAACTGTAATGTAAAAGCTTTTCAATGCACCTTTGACTCACTGATGAATAGACTGACACCCAGGGAGTCCTTGGGTCTCCTAAGTAAAGTGGTGGAAGCCAACTTCAGAGATCTATCATTCCTGACAGAGCTAGGATGGGGCCATGTCACCAAGTGCACCCAAGTGCCAATCCAGGCTCTGAAATTCCACCTTCTGTCTTTTTGCAATAGAAGATGGAGTTGGACCATTCTCCAACTGACAAGCTCGCACAGAGGAGATGGTTTGGGTGTCTTGAACACCACCTAAAGGGACAAGGCGCAGAGAGGATGCAAGACCCACCCTGCCATCAGGGGGCCATGCAGCAGGGCCCACAGGCATCTGGGCCCAAGCTCTGGGGTCACCACAGCACAGGCCCACACAGGCCACTCTGTCTTCCAGCAAACATTAAATGCAGTTCCTGCACTCAGGCATGAGAAAGCAGAGATCTTAAAGCCAACGACACAAAATGAACAATGCATGTGGTTCCAATGTACATGAGTATGCAAGGCGTGGCTCTGAGGGTGGGCTTTCCATGGCCCATTCCCCATCCCACAGGCAGACATCCCACTGAATGTTGGGTAGGATGGCGAATAGACCATGGAAACTTCCATCTAACTTCCACAAAGATGGGCCTACTAGCTTATCCAAAGCAGAATCCCCCAGTGCTATGAGCCTCTGTGGCCTGGCTTTCCACTGTCCTTCTCTCTCTGCATCAGCTGCTATCCCCTGCCTAAGGACACCTGTATGTGCTGTTCCCTGGATTAGATGGCTCTTTATTACCTACAAGTCTCTACTCAAATGCCTCTTTTGCAGTGAGGCCCTTCCTTGCTGCTTGGCATAGAACAGAACCTTGGCACCTGACCCCAGTGGGCTCTGTTCCCTTGCTTGCTTGCCCTCGATAGACAGTCAGCCCTCCACGTCCATGGATTCCAAATCCAATCATTCACCACCGATAAGATATTTCAAAGAAAAATTGGGTCAGGATAGAACAGGTACAGACTTTTCCCCTGACATTACTCCCTAAACATCACAGTATGAAAACTACTTACTCAGCATTGACATTGTATTAGGTATTTTCAGAGGTGGTTTAAAGTATGTGTGAGGATGTACATAGGTTCTATATAAATATAACATCACATTAATTAAGGGACTTGAGCATCAGCAAATTTTGGTATCTGCAGTGTTCTGTAACCAATCCCCTGAGGATATAGAGTGACTATACTATGTGCTGATCTTCCTAACTGCAGTATCTCTTTCATGCAGATGCCAGCTCTGAGGACAGATGCTTTGAGAGTAACTTTCCAATTCTAGGGCCCACGATGGTACTCAGCATTCAGAGCTTGGTATAACTGCATACTCCAGGATTGTCCATCCCTGGATGGGTAAGCTGGTATGATTAAGAAGTAGACATGAGACATGTTATTTATTTATTTATTTATTTTGGTGGTGGTGGTAGTGAAATTTGAACTCAAGGCTTCATGCTTACAAAGCAGGCACTGTACACCTGAGCCACACCTCCAATCCATCTTGCTCTGGCTACTTTGAAGATGAGGTCTCATGAACTATTTGCCATGCTGGCCTTGAACTGCCATCCTATGGATCTCAGCATCCCCTGTAGCCATGATTATAGGCATGAGCCATCAGTGCCCAGCTGAGAGACAAATTCTTTAGGCAAATCTGAATAAAGCCCTGAGAAGAACAGGAAGGAAGCAATCAGCAGTTGTCCCAGCCCCTTGCCATCCCAGGATAGGTGGCCCTTGATGACACTCCTCTAAGTTAGGATGCAGCAAGGACTGGGATCCGGTTCTGACTTCACAAACCTCGTGTCATGGTTATTATAGGACATTTTGAAATGAAATGGCCCAGAAGCTTATTAGATTTGACTTATTGAAAATCAGGTTTGGGACCTCCCACAACTTTATCTCACTAGGTCGGGGAATGAACCACTCACGTCCGACATGCAGCCACAAGATCTGGTGCTGGCTTATAAGAGCTCAGTGGAGCCTTTCGGCTCTGTTCCCCACAAGAGAAGCACAGCGACCTTTGTAAAGATGAAGGAGTCTGCTGGGGGCAATCTGGACTTGAGAGACTGCATTCTGCACTGCGCAGACCCAAGGAAGAGTGGCACCAAGTTCAGTACAGTTGGCAAACCCCTCACTCACTTTGAGCACTCAAACAACACACCAGTGTCCTTCACAGAGGGGAAGTCCACATACCAGCGACAACTAAGCACCCCAGTTAGGTTCTGAAGGAGGCCATAATGCCATGAGAAAAAATCACCAAATAGTAAAGGCTTTTATTTGCTGTGTGACAGCAACCATGAGATTTCCTGGTAATGAGAAATACTTGCTGCTAATGATGGAGAAAGCACACTGACGTGGCAGATAGAGGAAAAGTCAGACTGGCATTGACCACCCATGCCATGCCGTGAGCTTGTGTGTGTTTTCATTTATTCCTCAGACAGTGGGAGGGGAGATTGTCACTGACTCTGCACATGGAGAAGCCCAGCCTGAGGAAGGCTGTCCCTCTGCTTGTAGGTCTGCAACAAACATCAGAACACAGGCTCTGCAATGGGGTCTCATCGTCTTCATGCTAGGCTATTGCCTTTTATAGTGCCCTGCCTGAGCTGAAAGGCACTGCCCTTGTATCCATCCATCATCCATGGGCAAGCCCTGCAGATATGACAGAAGCCCAGGAGGGAGTGAGATATGGGGTGTGGGCAACATGAAAGAAAAAGCTTAGCGTCTATGGGGTCATTCAGGCAATTTCAATGTAAGGTAGAATAAGAACCCAGTCCAAGGAGATCAATGGGGACTACCTAGGTTCTTCACCTACAGGGCCCTCGGCATGTCGTGAGCTCTGACACCACCCAGTGTAGATGCACAGCACTTTTGAGAATCTCCTATATAAACCATGTCAAGGTGGGAAGTGCCAGGAGGGCATAAGTTGCCAGTGTGTGTAGGCTGACAGAAAGGCTGCCTGCTGGCCTCCTACCTTCCACATGGGGTTTATGCGCATCCCTGGGGAAGGAGGATGAGATAGAACTCAGGCCAAGGTAGGGTGCAATCTGAGAAAAAAGTCTGCTTCATGACCACAGCTATTCTTCAAAGAGCCTGAGATCAAGGCCTTGACCAGCAAGGGGTCAGCACCCTTTCTGCGTGCCTTATGTCAATAGGGCACTCTTCATGCCACGAGGCTATTTCTGCAGCCCCATAACAACTATGCTGGAGATAAATAATTGTTGAGAAAATGGAAAAAGGCGAAACCTCATGGAAAACAAGCTGGTAGGTGTGACCACTATGGGACGCTGTCTTCCTTCCTCATAGCACTGATGTCAGCCATGACTACATCCCATGAAACATCACATTCCAGATACCCAGGGCTGCCAACTTGAGCTACTGTTTTTTATTTTTTTAAGATTGTATTTAAGATCACTTTTTAAATAAGAAGTATGAGGGAAATTCTTTAAATAGATGGATGCACAAAGAAAACACTTCTTTTTCTAGAAAAAGTTGGCAGCTGAGTAATCAGCATGCCTGACCATGAGGCTCCATTACTACTTTTGGTTAAGATTCTGTGGTGGGAATGGGGAAGTAGCTTTCTGTGGCCTCCCGGAAACATCTCTGTACAGACAGTAAGTGGTGACAAATGCACATGAGGATTTTCCCTCTGGGCAGCTACCAACTGTGTCACCTTGGCAGGAGCACCTTGGAGAAGGAGGCTTGACTACCCAAAGACAGCTCCTGACCCCTCTGGACTGTGCACTCCACTGAGCTGGCCTGCTCCTCCAGGAACCTTCTAAATGCAGATTATTGATCCACCGAGCACAACCAGGGATAAAAACCCAAGATCCACGCCTTCTAATTTCTGAACTCACAGGTTGCGATCACTGTTTATAGGAACCACTCATTTTTCATCTGTCCACTTAGCACTTAGTTCCAAGTACAAGCAGGAGCCAAGTCTGAGATCATGGCGCAAATCAGAGTGAGGAAGCTCCAGGTTTTTATTTTTGTAGAGTCACCACAGGTATGATTCTACATCCCATAATTGCCACTGAAAGCAGAATTCAGGTTAAGCATCTATAATCCGACAATCTAAAATCTGAAATGCTTCAAAATCTGAAACTTTGACATCAACATGATACCTCAAGTGGAAAATTTTGCATTTGATCTTATATGTGATGGGCCAAAATATATATGCAATAAAATATTATATCAAATTACCTTGAGGCTGTGTATATAAGGTGTCTGTGAAACATAAATGAATTTCAAGTCTAGACTAGGGTCCAATCCCCAAGATACTTCATTATGTATATGTGAATATTCCCAAATCAGGAAAAATCCGAAGTCCAAAGCACTTCTGTTCCCAAGCATTTGGATAAGAAATACTCAACCTATATGTGGCTGGATACCATTTTCTTTAAATAAGATGCCGCACCTTAGGGTCAGACTGGGCAAAACACATGCTGGGTCACAAGTGGTAGCTCCAGTCTGAAATGTCCTTAGGATAGGTCAGCTTGTATAAGTCAAATGCTAATACCCAGGTGTCACGTGGGGTCCACAACCAGGGAAGCTGAGTTAGCCCTAAAGAGTTGAAGAATGCCTGGTGTTAGGAGATGAAGGAAAAAAACATGATACTTACAGAAACTTTCCATTTGTCTTTGATCCTATCAGGACAATCTGCTCTGATTCATCCCGAGAGATATTGCCATGGAACCATGGCATTGTTTCATGGGCAGTGGTGGCGATCAACTTCTCCAGCTGGGGCTTCTGGCTAATGATGGCTTGTTCCAAAGCCTGGCCCTGCAGTGGGCAGAGGAAGAGTGAGCAGGCCAGGGAGAAATGGAAAAATCACAGAAGTCATGTCTACTCTATCCAGAAGCCTACATGGTAGAGCAGGACCAAACTTTCTTCATCTATTCATCCATCCTCCACTCATTCATTCATCCAGTAATAAAACCACTAAGATCTTTATATATTACTTATGGACCTCCATATGTATAAATATGAAAATAGATTTTGGATAAAAACATTGGCTTTTTCAAAGGCAGGCAAAACTTTGAATACCGTCTGGGCTAGCCCAGGAGGTCCAGAGAACAGGTGTCCTGCCCTGGGTCCTTCAGATCATGTGGTCCAGTAGGCTACAGGTTCTGTGTTAGAGCCTGGTCATCTCATAGCCAGCAAGACGCCTTTAAGATGTGTGAGAAATGTACACGTGGCCTCATGTCTGCCTCTGCAAGGCTCCACTGGGCCCTCACCATTCCTTCTTGTATGTGCCAGAAACAGCATCACAGAAAGCACAGGTGAGCATTCCTGCTCATGTGGACAGGCTCATGTGGCAATCAAAAATGGGGCTGAAAACTAAGTGAATTAATTTCCTAATCCTTCTTAGTGAGAGAGAAGGAACAGATCTTCTTGACAGTAATTAATGAAGAGCCAGAGTGTATTTGTATTCATTAAGAAAGCTCAAAGGAGTAAAAGTAAAAATGTAAACATCTCAGACACAGAGACGGAAGAAGGAGAGAGGATGATGACAATGTGAGTGCACTACAGGTTTCACAGATGGAATAAAAACCAAGGCAGCAATGGTCATGGCCACAGAGGCATCTGGAGTAAGATGAGTGAAGAGGCCAGAGTGGAAGACTGTAGAATCCACTCACACACCGCTGAGAGCCAGCACGGACACAGGCAACAGCAGAAGCAAAAGCAGGTAAATATCCCATGTTAAGGAAGCCAGACTGAAAAGCCTTCATAATGTGGGAGTCCAGGTATGTGACACTGAGGAAAAGGCAAAATGGAGAGCCAGAAAACAGATGCATGGTTGTCAGGGGCTGGGCATGGGGGTGCTGGATAGAGTGATGGAGCTCTTCTTTGTCTTGATTGAGATGGGAATTGCACAGTGCTCTGTGCTTATCAAATCCCACAGAACTGCACACTGGAAAAGGATGAATCTACTGTGTGCAAATTAGAGCCCACAAATCTAAGATCTACCCAATGGGTGATAATTAAAAACTGAACACACATTATTGGGGTATCTGTCTGAAAGACTGAGTTTAATACAGAACTTGTTGAAAGAGTAAACAGACTCATATACATTATATTCAAAAACTTGATGTCTTAATTTGTGTGTATCAAATAGCACAGCAAAATGCATAGAACATACATCCAGAAAGAAGAAGAACAACGGTTAACACCTAAATGCAAGCAGGAGATTATCAGCCAAACCTGTTGGCTTTTGCCACTAAGAACATGGCAGGGCCAAGATGGAGCTCAGTATAAAGCATGTGCCTAGCATGCTTGAGGTCCGGGGTCTGATTCCCCAGCACCACAAAAAGAAAAAAAGAAGAAGGAAAAGAAAAATCAAGTGTGGTGGCTTCTCTCTGGTGTCTTAGTGGATGTGGAAGGAAGAAAGGGAGGGTAGGAGGAAAGGGGGGATGGAGGAAGGGAGAGAGAGACCAGAGGGAGGGAATGGGAGAGAGAGAGAGAGAGAGAGAGAGAGAGAGAGAGAGAGAGAAGAAAGAGAGAAAGAAAGAGTGACAAGCAAGACTGTAAACTGTCACCACCTCTTCAACCTTTTAAAATGGTAATTGTCACTATGTTCAAGTTACACACACACCCTTTTCTGTGGCAAGCCCACCCCCTAGAGAGTTTCTCCTGCACCTATCACACACAACCTTAGTGTAGGTGAGTATAGAACAATGTTTCTAGCAGCACTATCTACAAATAATAAAAGTGTTCATTAGAAGGTACCAATTAAATAAATTATGGCACACAGCAGGCAGTGCCAGGTTGCAAAAGAGAGGATGAGGCAGCTTTGTATATGCTGATGCAAAAAATTCTGCAAGATGTCAGGAATTTGTGTGGACATGTAAACAGAAATGACAGACATCCATCAGTGCCTCTGCAAAGGGCCACCATGACCTACTTGCATGGCAGTGGTTTCCTACCGTTGGGAAACCCACCCTATCGGCATGCAGGTCCCTGCTCACAGCAGGGGTTGTGAAAGAGGAAAGGGTGACTTCTTGGAGGAAGGCATGCTTTAGTCAACCTTAAGACTAAAGAGATGGTTGCTTATTTGCACAATGCTTGCACGGGTCTGCAGGTAATGGGTGTCTGGGTGGGATTGTGGGACCCCATGAACACAGCATTGCTGGCAAAGCCCACCTGCAGGTTCCACGTCTGCTTCACGTACTCCCTGATGAGGTTTTCCTTCAGGTCCTCAAATGGCCCAGTCTTGGGCTGCACCCCAGGGGGCCGGTTGAAGGGCTTTATGAGGAGGCAGACCAGGCCGTCGGACTCCTGGGAGTGGTAGTGGCAGAGGTCAGCAGGGCTGCTGTGGGTCCTGCCACCAGGGATGGCATAGGTGCCATTGATCTCCCTCTCGATGGTGTAGTGGTGTGCCTTCCTGCTGTGGGCCACTGACAGGGCAAAGCCACCCAGGTAATTACGACTCTGGCGTAACAGGTAGAGTCCATCGGTCATGCCCCCCTGGACCAGGTAGTCTTCTGCCTCCTCTCGGGTGATGTTGCCAAAAAAGAAGGGCAGGTGGTTGGCGCTGTCCGCCACGTTGCCTGCCATGCTTGTGACAGTCCTTCAGGATGTGAGAGCTTGCACAAAGGGTGCACCTGGGCAAGACAAAGATGAGAGAGCCGTGGTTAAGGAACCTTAGTAAGGGACATTGCTAAATGCATCCAAGACCTTGCTAGCCTAAGACACATCCTTCCTGCTCAGAATGGAAACACTCCTTCTGTGGACTTCCCAACAGGTGTGACCCTTTCTACTCACTTAATTGTTAGTCTTTGAACACACTCTCTGATTAATTCACCCAAATACATACTGTTTGGCAAAAGTGACTAATTTGCTTTTCCCTTTCCTCCACCCCACATTAGGGACAAAGTACTATAAGAAAAAATACTGTAAAAAGAGAAGCAGACAGAAGCATTGCAGAGCTGGACTCACAAGCACCCCCCCGCCCACCACCACCAAGAATGGACAGAGGCACAGGGAAGTAAAGAGAGCTGCGTGAGTTTAACAGAATGGTGCTCTGGGTGTAGATGACTCTGAGGAAAACTTGTCCCTCATAGTGGTGTCATCAGTGAGGTCTACCTGAACCCCAGGACTGAGTTCCAGAGAGCTGCAATTAGGGCCTCACTCATGACCTCTGCCTCACTCAAGCTACTGCTCAACTTACAAAAAGTGACACCCTAACGACATCCCCCATACACATCACACCCTGTCACACCCATATCATATACACCTATCACATATACACACCCACATACAAATGACACACAAATCATATACACACACCACACATGCATCACATACACACATATCTTACATCCTATACACACATATCACACACTCATACATACCACATACTAAATACACCTGTCACATTACACAATATCACATACACACATGCCTTGCCACACATAAACACTACACACACAGCACACATACAAAGCGCACACACACACTATACCACATGCATACATATACATACTACATGCTACACACTTAACACATCACAGCAGACCATACAATACATACACACAAAGACCACACCACATATCACACATACAAACTACACATCACATATAGATCTATATCACATGCAAACCACAGTCAAATGTAGACACATCCCATACACACGGCACACACAACAGCACAGGTGATTCTGTGCAACAGCTTCTTCTCAGCATGAGCCACCCTGTAAGTGGCTGCCCCAGCTGAGGGTAGCAGCCTGATGGGAACAGGATTTCTCTGACACCACTCTCACAGCAGTGCCCCTGGGTGGCCCTAAGAGGCACAAGCGTTGTTAAGCTCTGATAGTGCAAATACTCCTTTTCTTGCTTATTTCTCATGACAGCTGACTGTCATGTCCAATTCTTCTTTGTCCACCAAGTTTCCAAAAATTCCCCTTTCAGTCAGGTTTTGGTTTGAAGCACAGTCTACATTTAAGAATACTAGTATCAAAAAGACAAACCTGGCAAAGCAGGGAGTAGTGTCTTTTGGAAGGCGCGGCTCTCTTCTCACCCTCTTTGTCACCCTGGCTCATCTTTCTATGACACCTTTGCTGCAGGCTTGACCCTGCCCTGTCCTGCACAGTGACAGCCCAAAGCCTACACTTCTCACACTCCACTCTGTGCCAGCCACAGACACGGTTCTCTAGGGTCCCACTTTCACTTCTGCCTTCTCTCTGCCCTAGCCTGGTGCTTCTGGAACTTCCGTGTGTGTGCATGCTGCCCAGGGATTCTGCTATATTGCAGGGAACTGGGATGCTGCCACTCCCGCCATTCTGGTGAGAGGGATGCTGGGACCTTGACCCAGCTGAGACCACCCCCCCCCATCAGCTGCCTGCTTATGGATGAATGCCCCTGGGAGGACTCCCAAGTCCTTTGGAGTCCAGAACTCTGTCAGGTGTATTTTCTAAGACACTACTTTTTTTTAGGAATGCTATTTAAAATGAAATGTTTACAAATACTTTATGACTTACATCAATCTTGACTACATTTTTGCAATCCATTGGTTTGTCACTAATATTTACATTGGTGTGTGTACTTTGTCACGAGTTTCATGAGGAAGGGCAACCATAGGAGACAGCACTGGATATGACAAGGCATGGGGGGAATTTACGGATCCTTCCAGCTGCTCCCATATCTCTTGCTTTTGTTATTATTTACTTTTAACTGACACAGAATTGTACATATAAATGTGGCACAGTACAATATATACACAATGTGTAATGGTCAAATCAAAGTAATTAATATGTCTGTCTCCTTAGATACTTATTTCTTTGTGATGAGAACTTTGAAAATCCTCCCTCCTTATGAACTATTTTGAAATACACATACAATATATACTTGTTGATAGTCATGGTGCTGTGTGACCTAACACCAGAACCGATTTCTCCTGTCTAACCATTCCTTTGTATCTGCTGACCAGCTTCCCCATCTCCCCACAGTCTCCAGCCTCTGGGAACCACCATTCTACATGGGGAGTTTCTGTCTCCTTCCCAAGCAGACAGCCCCTTCATCTTCTCTAGGGAAGGAAAAGTCACCCTGTGCTCAGAGCCAGCAGCACTACTGTGGCTGAGCAGCCCTCTTCCTTCTGACAATGTGATCTCCTGCACTGGAGGTGACCTGGGTGCTGGCTTGAAGGAAGAGGAGCCATGTTGTGGGTGGTGGCAGTGGTTTGACCAGAAGAGCAGGTTCACTTCAAGGCAGTTCTTATTTAGCTTGGGGCACAAACAGCATCTTCAGTGCCTCCACATGTACCTCTCAGGGCTGGCATCCCTGGTACCCACCTGGGACCTTATCCTGGTCTCTACCCTCTGCTTCCCTAGGCCTTCTTGAAAGAAGATGGTCGTCACACCTGTCACTGTGGCTTACACACTCTGCCTAAGCCCGCCTTCTCTGATTACGGGCAGAGTCCACGCTGCAAGCTCACTTCAATACCCACTGGTATAATCTCAATAGTGTTTAGAAATTGTTCCCTATTTTTTGTTAATTCAACATTCCTGGTTATTTTTCCCATGTATGCAACCACTTTAATTAAAAGCATAAAACTGAGAAAAAAAAAGGCCTCTGGTCCTCACAAACAGGTCCTCCTACTCCTCCCTCACTCCTTTCTGCACCCGTCAGCTTATCAGGTCTCACCTCAGAACACACCTGCAATGGTAGATCTTCAGGAGGGAGGGTCTTCAAGTGTCAGGTGATCTCCTCAAAACCCAGTGAATCCTCACTTTTGGGGGCCTTTTATGACATAGGCTAAGTGTGCACTTAGGAGTATATTCCTCCACACCTGGGGCAGCTCCTGGTGCAAGGGAAGAGGATATAAAAACAAATATAAACATACTTGTTGATTAATAGGCACCCATTTCTCTCCACTGAGCTCTGAACCTGTTGGACTGTTGGATGTCCAACAGTCAACTCAGATTTTCAGACTCAAAATGGGGTTTTCCATTCCTCATGTGAACCCCTCACCAAATACATTGCTTCCTTAGTCTCTCTGTGGAGGAAGTGGCACTAACTACAACTTCTGGTCAGGATAAGGTTCTAGAGACTTTCAAGAGTCTTCCTTTCCCTCAACTCACACGTCTCATCCGCGGAGTCAGAAAAGAATATGCTTTCTACCATAAGCCTAGGGCACTCACCAGAGCAGGGGCTTTCCCCTGAGAGGTAGTCAGGTAGGAACTGAGCTCCATCTATGCAGCTAAGGAGTGAGGAATCTAGAAGTAAGTTCCATGAGTCAGTCTCCAGGGTTCTCTAATAGTCTTCCTCCAAAATACATTCCCAAACCATGCACTTCTTACCAACTCCCCTGGTACTGCCCTAGAAGTGGGACACCATCACTCAAGTGATGGAGTCTTACTTGGTACTCCTTTTCAACTTCATTCCCCACCCAGCAGGTAGTTATCCTCGAGCCATCTTTCCATCTGTGTCACATCCCAAACCTTCTTCTCCAAGCCTATAATGGTCTCCTTGTCTTACTCCATTTCAAGCCACACCACACTTCTTCCTGTCCTCATGTGTCAGGCCTATAGTGTCACCAGTCATAGTGCTCTCCCCTCCTCCTTCCCAGCCTGTGGTCTCCGTTCAAGACCATCCCCTTAGGTGTGTCCTGATGATCAGTTTCAGGTGGCTGCCCCCACTAGTTTTTAACCTCATTCTTGTGACTTTTGTATCTTCATAGCTCTACTGCAAGCTTTCTCTTATCATAAAATATAAACTACAAAAGTTTGTAAATTTTGAGTAACTTGCTCATGCTTCAAGGTTTACCAGCTATCCAGAAAATTCTTGTTCAATGGAAGTATGCTGCATTTTCCTTTTCAGAGTTTTTTTTTATAATGAATGTATGTTGCTTTCCTAATGAAAATACAAAATGTCCAGTTGCTGTGTGATCAGGCTCATTCAGCCTTCCAGATGTTCCAGCCCTGTGGCTACATCAACGGAATTTGACTCTAACAAAGACTCATAGCTTCTGATGGGAAGGGAGCCAGCATGTGCCTGAAGCTTCTGGTAGGAAATGCTTCCTCATTTGATTTCTTGCACTTCTCCTCCAGTCCCAATCATCTGTGTATCCCTAAGATACAGGGTATACCTTTGCTTCCCCCAAACACCCTCTCAATGCCTACCCACAGCAACAACTCCAAGTCAAGCCCTTCTTCTTCACTTCACATTCTTTCAGGAGCATTCATGTCTTGGTCACTTTGTCCACACAATTTTATGCCACCCAAGCCCCTCTTAAAAGTGCCACCAACTTTCATGCTGCTACCTCCATATTCTTGGTTTGTGCCAGTGAACAGCCCAGCTGTCCAGCATCTACACGGGGGTTCTGGAACTTTCACATGTGGTCACACCAACAACACCTTCCCCAACCTCTATTACATATTAAGACAGCTGCACTTGCCTTGCCCACCTGCTCTGTCAGTCCCACCCATTTCTAGCGTCTTCCGTTGAGTTAGCTCAGGGTTACTCAGCCTTAGCCTGCTTATCAGTGAAGCTAGTGATCCTCTGTGGCGTGTGGGTGTGGTGGGAGCAGCTGTCTTGTCCATTAGAGGCGACTTTCTGGCCTCTACTAACTAGATGCCAGGAGCAGCCCATTCCCAAGCATGATCCCAAGTCCATCTCATGCATTGCCAAGTGCTCCCTGGGGCAAGCAGATGCGTGATTGGGAGTAACTGTGTTAGCTGCTGTGGCCTAAATGCAAATCGGATGTGTGCTTTTAAAGTTTTAATCCTTTCAACAATAAATTAGATGAACTAATACTCTGGGAGGGTTGTGAAGGAAGCCCTTGGGGGTGGAGCCTAGCGACCTAGAAGACAGCAGAGCTGGGAGTTCAGAGCAGAGGCTGAGAGTAGGAATTGCTCCATCCTGTTCCAGCTTTGTGTGACCCTGGCACCTTAGTGTCACAGCCCCTCATGGTGAAAGCAGATGACAACAGCCACCAAGCTTACAGTGACAAGTCACAGTCATGAACGCAGAGTATGGTGGTACCATGGCAAGTGGTCCCACAAGAGTGGAAGCTCTGCGATAGAGAAGGACAATATCACGTCAGGAGCAGAAAAGAGTGGAAAGCTGCATGCTTGGCAGGAGAGTGTAACACAAGGGAGGGAGAGAGACAGATAGAGAGACACACCCATATGAGGGTGGTAGATAGATGAACAGAGGCTTGGACTGAGCCAGGGACAATGCTCCCTTCCCAGAAAGCCTTCCTCATGCCAGTCAAGCATCAGTCAGGCCTCATGCCAAGCATGATTTGCTGCAAGGGTTAAATTTAGAATGAAGCCATATTGCTTTTACAGGTTTTGTTTTTCTCCTGAGCAGTCTACCAGGGGCTTTTGCCAAGCCTGTAGAATGAATTCCTGTGAATGCTGATGGGCCTCATCTGTCTCTGAGCGTCCTTACGTCTCCTGTGTATTTGATTTCAGTTACACTGTGTCATTTTGCACTGACTGACTCCTGATCTTCCTTTCCCAGTAGATATTCATGGTCCATTTCCCCAGTCTCAGAACTAAGGATGACTGTATAAGCTCCATCCTTTAAAATGCATTTATATTGGAAAATATAACTTGTGTAGTTCTATTTTATCAGGCAGCTACTTAGATGAAAAGCCCTAGCCTCATGCCTGCCTTCATAAGCACAGTGTTTCAGATAGCAGTTGGACTAATGAATAAATCATGTTTCTGGCTGGATGTACACATGTAATTCCAGTAACTCAGGAGGTGGAGGAAGGAATATTGTGTTCTAAAGCTAACCTGGGCAAAACTGTGACACCCTATCTGAAAACCACCCCCCCACACACACTCACACACACACTCACACATACTCACACACACTCACTCACACTCACTCACACACACTCACTCACACACACTCACACTCACAAAACAAAAAGCAAAAGGACTGAGATGTGGTTCAAGTGATAGATTGCTTATCTAACAGACATTATGTCTTAAATTCAATCCCCAGTACTGCAAAACGAAAGAAAAAGAGAGATAGGGGGAAGGAAGGAAGGAAAGAAGGAAGGAAGGAAGGAAGGAAAGAAAGAAGGAAGGAAGGAAGGAAGGAAGGAAGGAAGGAAGGAAGGAAGGAAGGAAGGAAGTTTCTAGGGGCAGTGTGGTAGAAGGTGAGGTGCAGAAGCTTAGAACCAGGAAAGCAGCTGAAAAGCTGTCCAGAGCCAACTCTAGTGGAAGGGAATTTCATTCACTGAGTGGTAACAACCTGGGAACCAGAACCAAAGATGAATCCCAAAGTTCATATTATTACGGCTGTGAACAACACTGTGACTCATAAATTTTCATAGTGGCATTTCTTTCTCTTTTCTCCTCTCCATTTCACTAATGTTAATACTTTGTCTCTATTCTCTTTTCATCATATGCATGAAACAAAATGTCATTTCTTCTTGGATTTTGGTAGAGTCACCATGAATCCTAAAGTTGCAAATTCCAAACCACTGCTGCTAGGGAAAAGACCAGATTAAATTCCTGTGATCTTCTGGTTACATTTTTTGTCAACCGATCAGAACACATGTGTTTCTGTCTAAAGAAACTTGTTTCATTTACACCGTTGGATATGTTAACGTTGAACTCACTGGAACAATACTGCAACTCATGCCTGTACAACACTTCTCTGACCTGCAGATTTACTCCATGAAGCACATCCACCTTGTACTTGGAGACACCAGGCAGCACTTGAGCACTAAGTTTGGTAAAATGTTAAAAAGTGAAATCATCAATGAGAAGCATGAAATGCTAAAAAGAAAGCACTAAATCAAGCAAGAAAATGGAGAGATGTTTTACACTGTTAGAACCGACACAAGGAGGCAGAGAGGGTCACTTGGTCCAAGCTCAGAGTGTTAGGCGACATGTCCACAAATGACAAAAGTGCTGTGAGTATTGATTCGAGGATTACAAATACATTTTAGTGAATAGGCAAATTCGTAAATAAGAAATCCATGAGCAATGAGCACTGATTGATATAATTTTCCTCTCCTCTCCCTACTTCCCCAAAGAGGCCCAAAAGCATACATAAAGATGCATATTTTTGCTGTGGATATTTTGAGAAAACCAGTTATCTCTATATGATACCGTGCTCTTAAAAATATTATTCTCATTCCTAAATCTCTGTTGGTTTTAGCATGACATGGAACCAGAAGAGGCAGCCTATGTCTCTGATGCTTTTTTAAAAATTACTTTTATTTATTGAGCCTATCTGTCCTTGTTATCAAAGGACCTGTGATTCACGCTTCTGCTTTTCTTAAGACCACTGGAGCACTGCTCCTGCGGGTGCTGGCTTCCCACCCCCAGCCCCTTCCGCTTCCTGCAGTGAACCTTTCCCACCAGCACTTACAATTTAAGGTGGCTCATTTTCCCATCACAAGCTGTGAGAGCCTCTCGTATAATGTAGACGGTGGCAGAAGTAAATGGCTCTCTGGATAAATAAGACGTGAGGGGAATTTCTGCCAAGTCCATACCATTCAGGGGTAGATGCAAATCCCACACTCAAAACCACATGGTCACTTGATGCAAATCAGCCTTGTTCAAATGCACCTGGGAATTTTCTCAGCCTTAAGCTGAGAAAATTAAGTGCTAGGAAATGCTTCCTCTGTGGGTTAGTTTAATTTTCATAAGAGGAATGAGCCCAACCTGGAAGGAAAATTGATCTTGAAAGGCTGATCAGGGACTGGCTGGTTACTTATATAGAAAGATGACTAGTCAAAAAGAGATGCCAAGGGACCACCTCATGTAGCACCCGGCTCTGCTGACAACCACCCTCCACTGGTCTGCACATGGGTTTCCACAGTAGGATCTCACTGTGCAGAAGGAGACATGTGGGCACAGATATGGGGTCAAAGGGAGGGATAGAAATGTTGATCCTGAAATCAACTTAGGCCCAGCTAAGAGGCCAGAGAGCCAGGAAGTATGGATTTTAATCAGGGTCCCTGGTGATTTTTTAAGCAGCCTAATGTGTACCTCTCATGAGAGATTGCTTGAGAGTGAAGAGAGACACCACTTCCCCCAAGATGGGAGAGAAAGGCAGTCAGGTGGGGTGCTGAAACTGGACTGCCCCTTGCCATGGGCAAAAAACTGAACCAGGAAGGACAATAAAAGTACCCAGGGTTTCCTGATGCCTGGGGTGAGAGAGTTGGCTCAGGGCTCCACCCCGGACACTGCCCCTGAGGTCTTTCCCCACAGATCAGGTGCCATGTGGGTCTGTTCAGAGGAGGGGAGAGGCACACAGTTGGTTATTCAAAGAGAGTCAGCCTTTGTGAGTAATTAACAGAGTACTGGGTCACAGTCAAGGTTGTCCCTCAGCAAAGTCCTTCTCATGCTGTCATGAACAGAAGAGGATGGCATGGAGTAGCAGCCAGTGGGCTGGCACTTGTGCTGGCTCTAAGCAGGCCCAAGGATGTCACCCCAGTGAACTATGCCGTCTGCTATGTCCTGGGAGCCACCTTGTCATTCACTCTCCTCTGGGGAAAAATACTAACAACTGACCAAATACTGGACAAAAGAATTCACATTGAAAATACTGGCTGGGTCTCACTGGTCTTGTCCTTGGGCAAATAGCCAAGTTAGACGAACAGGGCAGTAAGTTATGGAGTGCCTCTGCTAACTTGATCCACTCTTGATCCTGAGGCTTGATCCCACTCCAAGTTCCAAGACCCTTCCTCCCAGAAGAACTGAGGCAGCTGGGAGGCCTGAACTGAGACCCTCTGTTTAGCAGTGACCACAGTCAGCAGCCACCACTTCCGTCCGACCTTCAGGGATCTGGCAAAAGCTTCCAGCCTTCAGGCACTATTTGTATTTTTCCATCTGTCCATTTAACGAGACAAACAACCTGTACAGGGACCCCTGGCTGCTGGAGAATCCAAACCATGTGCTTTCAACCAAATGGACACAATGAACCTGCATTAAGAAATCTCCAGAGTTTTACTGAATGCAGAAAAAACTCTGAATGCAGAGTTTTTCCTCTAGCCAATTAAAAAATAACGTGGGAGACTCATGACTGTAAAATATTCCAGAAACTTATGATGGTCTTTCATAAACTTGAGATATAAATATATCCAATGCTTAAAGAAATTGGCAGAGGTTCCACCCGGGGAGAAAGATGGTTTTGTCACCAGAGAATTGCAGGTGCAAAGGTGGAAGTGCATGGCTGAGGGTGGGCGTATGTTCAGCAGAGAATACTGTTGGCACAGGGCAGAAGAACAAGTTAAATGTGAGGCGTGATCTCCATCCTAGGCACACCCCACCCACTGGTGCACAGTCCTACCGGCCCAGCCTTCCTTTCCTGGATTCACATGCAGGTCTGCAGTCAGAGGCATCACACAGCATGCAGCATGACAAGGACGAAGCTCTCGGTAGAGAGAAGGGTTTTAAAAAGAGGACAGCTGAAATGGAGAGCGGAAGAGGAGCCAGCCGAGGGTGTCCTGCTGCAGGCTGGTGTCTGTAACTAGGTAACTGGGCTTTCCTCAAAGTGTCAGCATGCAAAATAAACCCAAAAGCAGAAGTGCGAGGGTCCCCGGTGGGAGGGACTCTTAACTTGATATTCAAAATGAAGTTATACTCTAGGACACGGGTCCCCTAAACAAAGCTGAGGACGGGCCAGTGGACTGCTTTAGCCAGGCATGAACACTGGCTTCCGGAGAATCAAAATTTCCTTCTCCATTTCTTCTTGTTTACCTCAGCTAATGCTTTAGTAACTCTGCTGATCATTTTAAAGAACCAGCATGGATTGTATTGCTTTTTCTCTGTGGTTTCCTGTTTTTAATCCCAATGATTCCTGCGTCAATTATTCCTTTTCTTCTTCTTGGTTTTGGCTTAATTTGCACTTCTTTCTGTAGCTTGCTAATATGGAATTATAGGTTATTGACTTCATATAATTTCTTTAAGAAGTTTGGACATGGTTTGGGGGTGTTCTCCAAAAGTGCACTGATGGAAGCTGAAGTGCACTGAAGTGGTGGGACCTTTAAGGGCTGGGAGCTACTGAGAGGTAATTAGGTCATTGCGTGCATGGCCCTTGGAAAAGATTAATGCCTGTCTCGAAGGATCGAGTTAGGTCCCAAGCAACTGGGTTACTTACTTTGAGAATGGATCATTATCAAGTGAAGCCATTCCACACGTTTGGTCTCTTCCCCAGGCACCACTTTATTTATTTATATTTATTTATTTTGACAGTACTAGGGTTTGAACTCAGGGCCTCATCCTTGCTAGGCAGATGCTCTACCACTCAAGCCACTCTGCCAGCCCTCATTTGGTCTCTTCCCCAGGCACCACTTAAGCACACACTCCCACCATGATATTGTGCAGCAAGAGGCCCTCACCAGAAGTGTCTCTCTGAACTTGGACTTTTCAGCATCAAAACTGTCAGCCAAAACAAACCTCATTTCTTTATAAAGTACTTGCTGTCAGGCATTTTGTTGGAAGACAATATATGTACTCACCGCTATAAATTTCCCTCTAAGCACTGTTTTGGCTGCATCCTACAAATTTTAAATAAGTTATATTTTCATTTCTATGCAGTTGAAGATATTTTAAGATTTCTTTCAAGACTTTCTTTGACTCATAAGCTATATAGAAATCTGCTATTTAATTTTCAACTATTGGAGTCAGTTTTTTGTTATGAATATCTAGTTTAGTTTTGTTATGTTTAAGAATATACTTTGTATGACTTTAAATTTAAACTTGTTAACATCTTTTCAAGAATGTGGTTTATATTGGTGAATGAAGAATGTAGATTCTTCTGCTGTTGGGCTTTACATTTTATAAATGTCAAAGTGACTGAGAGAGCTGCTCAAACTTCTGTATTTTTATCCTCTATTTTCTGTATAATTGGTTTATCAATTACTAAGAGGAAGCCTGATAGCTCTAATTATAATAGTGGGTTTGTCTATTTCTCCTTTCAGGTTTATCAGTATATTTTGCCTTGTGTATTTTGATGTTGTTATGTTCATACATGTTTAAGGTTGCTTTGTCTTCTTGGATATTTAACCACCTTATCATTATGTGAAAATTTCCTTGAAGCCCTGACTCCTGTTCACCATGGGATTTTTTTCCCTTTCAGTGACACAGGCAGTTAGGAGGACTCTGGACTTTGAGGAATTCACTTGGGAATTCCCAGTTAGGGTAAGGCCCTGGCAATGTTTTCTCTGGAGAATAACCCTTGTTATGGAGAAGGCTTGAGGTGCATTTCACAATTATCACTTATCACTGACTCTTCCCCAGCCACAGCCTTGAAGGGCTCTGTATCAGATCTTCATCATAAGGATCTAGTGAAGTTAGCATTAACCACACCTTTTTATTCTCTGTATCTTTTGATGTTCTGACACCTGGGACTTGCTGATGTCAGAGTACCAGCCTCCCAGGGCTGGTCAATTTATAGAGACAGTAAAACACTCTGTGTGTGCAAACTAGTCAATCTAATGCCAACCCTCAACTACCTCCTTTACACTGTTCTATAAACCAAGCCTTAATTCCCCTGTCCTAATCACTCTGAGGCCGGCTCGGGCAAGTAGGGGCAGTGGAAAGTGGGGTCATCTTGAGACTACTACCTATAATAGCTTTTCTCTCAAACTTGTCCAGTCAGCCTCCAACAAAATTGTCCTCCAAGAGTTTCCTTTAGTGTCTGGCTCTCACAGCTTCTGCTCCACTAAGGAGGTTTTAGCATCTCTGCTGTGCCTGTCTCTCCAGATGGCCAGTGTCAACCTGCCCTGAACCTAAGTTCTCTGATGAGTTGAGGAAGTCCCTGATTCTCAGCATGTCAAGTTTTTCCCTATTGTCAGAATAGTGGTGACTATGTCCACGCTCTTTATATATTACAGCTGAAACCAGTGTCTCCTTTTGTCAACCCTGGTCTACCTCGGGACTATTACATGGGTATCCTATAATAGTCCACAAACGTTTTCTGATGAATCAATGAATTGGTAAGGATTCAAATGTGATTATTCTATAATAGATGATCCAAAACTGTCAAATGTGTAAGTGGCAAATGGTGACCTGGTCTGTAAAAATTTGCTGAATGAATGAACAAGGTGTGACTGATGTTTTACCCACACAGGAACCCTAAGTGTTCATCGCAAACCTAAGGAAGCCCATAGGTGCTCCAGGTTCCTGGTCCAGTGCACACTGACTCACTCTAAGTCACTGGTAAAGGCCCCATATCCCCAGGATGCCATGTGCTCCTT